TGGAGGTGGGTGGATTGCTTGAGCTCAGGAGTTGCAGACTACTCTGAGCAACAGTAGGACCCTGTCTCTTAAAAAAAACAGCCAGGCCTTGTGGCAAGTGCCTATAGTCCCAGCTGCTTGGGAGGCTGAGGCAAGAGGATTCCTTCAGCCCAGGAGTTTGAGGCTGCTGTGATGCCGTGGCATTTTTTTGTTGTAGTTGTTTTTAGCAGGCCCAGGCCAGGTTTGAACTCGCCAGCCGCAGTGTACGTGGCCAGCGCCCTGCCCACTGAGCATGGCTGCCGAGCCTTCACTCTCCTTTTGTTTTCATTGACTGATGTTGTGAGACAGGGTTTTGCTCTTTCTCCTGGGCTGGAGTGCAGCAGCAGCAGCATGGCTCCCTGAAGCCTCACACTCCTGGGCTCCAGTGATCCTCCTGCCTCAGCCTGCCATGTAGCTGGGACTACTAGGTATATGCCACCACACCTGGCAAATTTCCTTATTTTTAGGAGAGATGGGATCTTGCTCTTGCTGGTCTCCAACTGCTGGCCTCAAGCAATCCTTCCACCTCGGCCTCCCAAAGTACAAGGATTACAGGCATGAACCAGCACACTTGGCCCCAAATTCATGTGATGAAGCTATCATTACACTAATACAAAAGTCAGAAAAAGGCACTCTACAAAAAGGGAAATCTTAGGTTAATCTTCCTGAGGAACTTAGATGGGAAAATCCTCAACAAAAGTGGGGCTTGGGTGCTGTGGCTCACAACTGTAATTCCAGCACTCTGGGAGGCCCAGGTGGGTGGATTGCCTGAGCTCACAGTTTCGAGACCAGCCTGAGCTGGGTGTTGTGAGTGCCTTTACTCCCAGCTACTTGGGAGGCTGAGGCAAGAGAATGGCTTTAGCCCAAGAGTTTGAGGTTGCTGTGAGCTGTGACACCACAGCACTCTACCCAGGGTGACATAGTGAGACTGTCTCAAAAAAAAAAAGGGGGCCTGGTGGCTCGTGCCTGAAAATCAAGTACGCGTGGCAGCAGTGGTGGGTGGATAGCTTGAGCTCAAGAGTTGGAGACCAGCCTAAGCAAGAGGGAAACTGGTCTCCATTAAAAATAGAAAAACTAGCTGAGCATCATGGCACGTGCTATCGTCCAGCTTCTCAGACAGTTTAGGAAGGAGGATATTTTTTAGCCCAAGACTTTGAAGTTGCTGTGAACTAGGATGCCACAGCACTCTGGGCCACAGGGTAAATCTCTGTCTCATTTAAAAAAATGGTAAACAAAAATAAAATAAATGTATCCTTGGTAATCACATCTCTGCGAGTTTTTACTTAGGTAATCCTGGGACATTTGACCAAATTGTTACATTCAGGACTACATATACAATGGTTGAAAACTTCATGGGGAGGGAAGCTGTTGCTTTTTTGTTCTCTTGCCCTTTATGTTTTCTTTATGCTGCACGGTGCAGCTCTTAGTCAAGCATGTGTGCACACACATTCTGACATTTCAGGCCCTGTTTTGCAGTTTATTCACAGTAATTAGTTGAATGTATAAAGTGCCCTGGGAGGTGGAAACTTACAGTTTTACTGATGAGGAAACTGAGGCACACAGATACCTGACTAGAAAGTTGCAAAGCTGAAATCTGAACCCAAGTGGTTTGAAGGGCCACACTAACAGCCACTGTGCTTCTCTGTCCCTGGGTCACTGTATGTTTGATATATAATTTTAAAGTTGTTTGAGTTCCGTTCATTTTTTAGAGAATAAGCCCACTTTTTAAGTGTAAAGTTACAAACTAGAGATGTTGCATTTTAGGACAAAGAAGCAAACTTAGTTTTTGATTCTTTTCCAGTGGGGCCATGTTCTAAGGATTTGGTTGGTATCATTGAGGGAAGCTGAAACTATAAACTGGAAGTGATTTTCCCTTTGATGAATACTTGGGTTTCAAATGGAATATTTTGGGTTTCAAAATTAAAAATCAGGAGCAAAAAGGTTATATTTGGTGCTTCAACTTTTTTTTCTTATTTTACTTTGTAATTATGTCAACATTTCTAGAAAACATCAAAAGGGTTATAGAAATGTAATTTCCTGGCACAGTAGCTCACACCTGTGATCCCAGTACTCTGGGAGGCCGAGGCAGGTGGTCTCCTACAGGAGTTGGAGATCAGCCTGAGCAACAGCAAAACGCACTGGACTAAAAATAAAGAACACTAGCCCAACATCATGGCACATGTCTGTAGTCCCAGCTACTCAGGGGGGGTCATCAGGGGGGTTGAGGCAGGAGGATTACTTGAGCTCAGGAGTTCGAGACCAGCCTGAGCAAAAATGAGACCCTGTCTCTACTAAAAACAGAAAAACTAGGCCGTTGTGGCAGGTGCCTGTAGTCCCAGCTACTTAGGAGGCTAATGCAAGAGAATTGCTTGAAACTGTGAGCTATGATGACACCATATGAGACTCAGTCTCAAAAAAAAGAAATGTAAGTGTGCATTTATATAGTTTATAAGACAGTGAAATGTTTATAGTGAAAACATTTTTGAAAAGCAAATTTAGTTTGAGAAATGTTGATTTGGTGTATATTGATTTAGAAGAAAACAGCTTGATTATGAGCCAAAATGTTTATAATTTGACATTTAATTCAGACCAATTAGCTCATTGGATGAGAACTCTATATGATCAATTGGCTTCACACTGTTTTATGGCTATAATTCAGCTACATTGGAAAAGGTGGGCCCATTAACCTGTAGAGGGAGAAGAGAGGGTCAAAAAGCCAGCAGTCCACAACCCTTGCTGGAGATAACGCTCAGAAGGCGAGTTGTGTTGACAGGTGTTTCTGGCATCAGCCGAGTATGGTTTGGATTCAGTCACCAGGAGTGAGAAAGTAGACTGTGAATTCTAGGTGTCTAATAGGAATCTGAACTTGTTACTAAAGGAGTTAGACATGCCTGGCCTATAGGAATAAACATATCACATTCAGTGATGGAAGGGGTCTTTTGGCCCTCTGATCACTATGTGGAAGGGGACAGCAGGAAGGCATTGTGCAATGTCATGGGACGTTCTGTTCCTCTGGTTTAGCAAGAATTATTTCTGGTAGGAAGACATACATGAAAACAGTCTTATTGTATAATGTCATTTTAGAGACAAACTTTCCTGGGTGAAGATGCTTTTATGGGAGCAGTACTTCTTAAAAGCTCAGTAATATGTTTTATTTAAGATGATACTTTCTGTGTCCTTGTTTGCTGAAAAAGTTTAAGCACATGAAGGGTTGTGTCATTAAATCACCCAGTGACAGCAATTTCTTTAAAGTTCAGCCAAAATACCTAGGTTTATACACTGTGAAAAGACCCTGTAAAAATCCAATCAGAACAAAGGCAGAGCTCCCTAGGCTAAAGAGGCAGAGACTTCATATATACTCTACAACCTTGCAATTCAAATTTCAAAGTGCTTCTTTCTTTCTTT